GTTACAGGTACCTAAGTAAGTAATTAATGTATTGTTCGTGGCCTAGTAAACGTACTTACATGATCGTGTGTACTAGCGTGCATGTGTTGCAGGCAGATTTGGCCAATCAGAGTTAGGAAATAATTTCTAATAGTCATCAGGAAAACAAAAAAAAAGGAATGCCAGTAAAACTTTTGAATACAAGTATCGTCAAAAGGAGAACAATAAAATGGAAAAATACTGATTTAACATAGGTACAATAATCTTATGGTGTGTCAGTTTTCAGATTGGCTGATTGTATAATCCATATAGTTTGTTGTTACAAAATAATTGTAATAATAATATTATGTCCATGCGTTTTGGCAAGCCTTGGCCTTTACTACACCTACAGTAGACATAGTAATATTTTTGTCATTCCGCTTCCTAGTGTCTACCGAACTTCAATTGTCAAAATTCGACAAGAAGATGTAGCCTATATGTACATAATGACGTAATATTACTTCTCTAGTACCAGACAGTTCTACATTTCCAGTCATTCACTACGATCCCCACATACTTCTATATCTTCATTCATGTACTCATAAAAGCACATAGATTATGCCATTCAGAGCGTACTTAACATATTAGTGAATAGTTCATAGTATGACTGCGACATAGTACGAGACTACGAGTGTACGAGTACGGCTTCGGATTGCGGCGCGATCGGTACCAGCACCGCGCGCCGCCGGTAATTAGCTTCAACACTGAGTTGCCAGCTCATTGGAATCAGTTTCCTTGGTGACATTTTAGAGGAGACTAGACTTGGAATACAAATAATTTAAAAGTGTGCTGAGGTAAACCACGAGCCAATGACTATGTAAGCCAAAAAGGTGCTTTATTGTTTTTAATATGGTCCTTTATCGTATAATAGTGAGTGGACGCCCATGTGCGTTCCTGTCTTATAGTGGAGGTCATTTTGTACTATTTCAATTCAAGGCACTAATCATATATCATATTGTTCAAGATTGTCAAAATGATTGTCTTGCTGAGTTGCTACGATACTTAGTATATTTTTTATTTTCAACGGACTTCCCAAAAAGGAGGCGGTTTTCATTGCCTAACGAGTGCAGATTCCCCGGTAAATTCGCAGCAGTTGGCAACACAGCAGTTATGTAGCTAATACCGTGATCCTGTCGAATATTGTTTCGCGTGTCTTCTATTCTCGTTCCAAGGCACAAAAAGTTTCAATTTTGTTTGTTTTTCTAACTGACTTTGTGCACGATTGGGACTTTAACAAATAACTAAGGAACCGAAAATGATTATACTTTTTTTAAAAGTGCGGAATGAGGTTTCTAGTCGTTGGAAAAACAATCATCGCGCGAAGATAAATTGTTTATTGTTTAAAGGAGTTTCGGGTCGCGCAAAGTTATATTTTAGACATTTTCAGTAACATTTTCGAGTCAGAAATTGTGTCTGTTTTAATTAACAATATTTCAATGTGAAGATTTGAACATTTAAATAGAATTCACGTCCTCCGTACTTTGGATACTATCATTTAATTCATTAACTACTACTTACTTCTAGTTTAGTTTAGTTTAGTAGATTTGATTGTTAGTAACAATCAGATAACTTCTTTTCTGGGATAAGCCGGTAAACGAGCAGACAGATCACCTGATGGTAAGCAATCGGCGCCGCCCATGGACACCTGAGTCGTTACAAGTGCGTTATCGGCCTTTTGAGGATTATTGAGGGTAATTGGGCCTTGAGTAAATAAAACCTAAAGAGATGACAAACAGACAAATAAATTAGTTATTTCATATTATTTAGGATTCTAAGTTCAATAGTTAAGTTCGGTTTTCAATATGTTTTCAGTAGTTTTGCCTATTATTTTTGTAATTGACTATCCTCTGTAATACGTACCTACGTCAGTCAGTTCAGTAACAGTTCAATTAACACTGTTTTATCTGTGGGCAACAGGCTAACGGGTCAGCAGTAACCGCAGTTAGAGTCCATTTCACGAAAGAAGTCCCGCAGACGCAGCGCTGTATTCGCGCGACATAATGTTGCCACGGTTAAATTTATATAGTATGGGAAAATCAGGAGAAATTGACATTAGTTTGATTAACTACGTACTCGAACAGTTCTAGGAATATTTTAAAAATAATGTCTTTTTATATAGGTATTTATGTTTATACTGCTAAGGTCAGATTAGTGAAAAATTAATCTTCCTGTAATTTCTAAAATATAAAATGGAAATAAAGATGTTCAACCAACATCAAATTAGAAACATAAAATAACATTTAAAAAGTTTTATTAAAGTTTTATTGAATAATTATGATCGGTCATACTATGATCACTGTCAGAAGAGTGAATAGAAACAGAATTAGATTCTGTTTCATTATCACTAGCCGTAGATATAATAAATCGATGCATTTCTTCATCCATAAGACCATCATTTTTTAAATATTCTTCCTCCAAATGCTGTACATGTTTGCATTGAACTGCCCAATCTTCCGCTGTAACAGTCTCGAACGCCTCTTCTGTTAGGCGTACAATTTCTTTTGGATCTTGGCCCACGTTTTTAACCGCTACCCGTCTGTTTATAACACACGACTCTCCGACACACCTGCAATAAAATGAACAATTAAAAAAAATCTAACAGTGACTTTTTCCGCATTTAATTATATTATTGTTGAATACAATTTTACAAATTTTTGTTGTGTTATGTTAATTCCTCATTAAAAAAACTTAAGTCTAATTGGTAAAAAATATGTTTAATATGGCAGCCCCAAAATTTACCTGTTATGGCGGCAACTCTTTTGCGAACATTGTCTAATGGTATTAAAACGCCGCGATTCTTCTGTTCCGCTTCACAGAACTCTTTCAATTTTAATATCATTTCTGGACCTGCACTTTTTACAACTTTTGGCATCGTAAATAAACCTTATAATGCACTAATTTAATAATAAACTCACAAAATATCTACCACAACAAACCCACCTTGACAACATCGACAAACGACAACATGGCCGAACTCCCCATTTGTCAAATTTAGTTCCACAATTGTCCGCGGGACTTCTTTCGTGAAATGGACTCTATATCTTTTAGTTTATTAATTAACTGTGAGTGACTGATAACTTCATTAATGTCAAGATCAATTATAATATCGACTAATTGTTGATTGTGAGCTGTAAGTCAAGTAGAATTACAGTAACTATATAATTTTGCAACTAAATTGTAACATCATGCCAGTTTGACTGCACGGTTTGCGCGGTAGCTGAGCAACTGGCTGCCGTGCAACGTGTCGCGGGTTCGATTCCCGCACGGAACATCTCTTTGTGTGATCCACAGATTGTTGTTCCGGGTCTGGGTGTCATGTGTATGTGAACTTGTATGTTTGTAAACGCACCCACGACACAGGAAAAAATCGTAGGGTGGGGCAAAGTTTAAAAAAAAATTTCACTCATAGGAAGATTTTTCCTGAATCGGGTGTCGAAATCAGAGATTGTTGTTCAATAATCACGTATTTTACTAAACCAACGATGTGTTTTTATAATAAATCACCTAGAAACTAACCTTATTGATGCATGCCATTTCTATTGTCGATCATTTTGAGTATTTCATGTATAGGTAATATAAACATATGTATGTGTTCCTACTTAAGTTATTCGACACGAGAACCAATCCTACTGACGATGTCAATGCTCATTGGTCGCTCTTTTGACTACTGATGCAGTCGGATTCCATCAAATAAAATATCCCGAACTCCAAACACTGATCAATTCCCAAGCTGTCACCGGTGACAACTCCATTGTAGACCGTATTTCCGATGTTTAGAGACTACTTTTGTATAAACAAATTATGGGGATTAATATCAGGTGTGAATTAATAAGTAAATAAGTTTGCTATAAATAATGATTCTCTTTTTTCAAGGCCAATTTAAAAACTTGGACGCACTTAAAATAGACCGATGTAATTACATTTTAAGCCAATGTTTTTATATATAAATAATCATAATATGTATATGAGGTAGACGTACAAAAAAAGTTACGCCGCACTTAACATTCTTGATTATTTTTTTCATCTAATCGTTTGTGAATGTCAACAAAAACTGCATGCGTAATGTGGAACGAGATTACATTTTTTAATGTTAAATAACTTGTCATATTTATTTATGACAAGTACACCAACACCATCTAGTGTTAAGGAAAAATGGGTCTTATGTTTTTCGCGTCGGATAATGTACTAAGTTTTGTCGAGATTATGTAGATTGATGTAGATTTGACGATTATTTGCTTAATTTTCTTATATCTAGTATTTAACCAATTTTTGAAAAAAGGTCACCACTAAGTTCCTATAGGGGCCATGCTTCGGCACGAATGGGCCGGCTCAATCGGAGTGATACCACTGCCTCACAGAAAACCGATTCTTGTCTTACGTTGTTCAACAAATACCCCAATCCCTGAATCTTTAACAACCCCTTAATTCCTAATCCCTAAAAGGCCGGCAACGCACTTGTAACACCTCTGGTATTCCTGGTGTTCATGGGTGACGCCCATTGCTTACCATCAGATGATTCGTCTGCTCGATTAGTGGTTTATCCCATAAAAAAAATCAGAGACCTCAAATTTTAGCAGTTCCATGTAATATAATCATGTCATATGAAAGCGTAGCCACGTGTAGATAATAGTGTTTATTTAATAATAATGCATTATCAGTCCACTTGAAATTATACTAGGAACAAGATTTATATTTTGATAATAACATTCGTGTAGTACGTATTTGTATGACATACATAATACTTTGATATTAGTGTAGTATTTATGCTACCTATTATGTGACTACGTGATTAACTGGTTTTTCGGAAAGGGTTGGTCGCTGTCAATATCGCAATAGTTCCTTTGAATTTAATCTAACTATTGGTAATGAAATGGATCTACATTTGTTTGATTTCTAAGATAATTGTATAAAATATTTGGAATGATGAGATCTCTGTAAATTTCGCTTATTCATCTATACCAAAACGTGAATGGATCACTTACCTGAGATCATATAATATAGTTCCTGTCAGGCTGCCGTCGACCTATAGCGAATGGCCAAGCCCTGGCGCGTACGGCAGCCGCCACGTCTCCTCGCAGCAGCGCCACCACATCGTCCAGGAACCGCAGCGCACGCGCCTCCGCGCCCAGCGCACGCGCAGCCGCCGTACATCGCCGCGCGCGCACCGATGACGCCTGAAATACAATTTATTTTTCTAAGGGAGATCGTTTTTTATGACCAAAATCAATAACCAACCGATCCAAAACATAGTTTCTGCCTTTTTGACTTTAGTTAGATGCAATTTCTGTCAAAGATATTCCAAATATTTTGGATTAAGATCAGTTATTATATTTCGGCCGTTAGCAAAGAAATCATTAAGACTGAAGAACCCATTAACCATGACTAACTAATATTGTTTCTATAGAAAACTCAATGATACTACTTAAGAAGTACTTGACAATTGTACTCTAATTGCCCATACAATACATTTTATTAAGTGTCTACTTGTAAATACTTTGTGATAAACAAAACAATTCATTCTGTCTACAATGAGGTAAAAATCTCATCGATTTTAAACAGAGATATTTCGCTAATTGGACACGCTTCAAAGGTTTATTCAATCAGGTGATAATTCTCCTTTTGTGAGGCACAGGTACATGAATTTAAAAGCCTATTCGTCTATTCTTACAATGATATGTCTATCAATATTTTCGATAATTCCAAGTTTTTCTGCCTGCCCTAGTCACGCAATGTATTTGAGTCGCACCTATCAATCATCAGCCACTTTTTATTTCATCAGCATCATTAGAATGATCGAGACCAAACAAAAACAATCGTATAAAGATACACGAATCATTATAATTAGCTACGTCTTTCAGAGCGCCATGAGCTAAATAATAGCTCGTTTGAAATGTTAAGCAAAAACCATGGAGTAACTGTTCATAAATATAGCACAAATTGTATATTTACTTGTTATTGTTAATGCCCGTTATTTATTATTGTTTCCTTATTAAAATATCCCATTTGAAACCGCAAGAGCAGGAAAGTGGCTACTGATGGGACAGAATTAATTTGTTCTACGTAAAATGTTCTAAGTGTATGTATCTGACATTTTTCTATCTATTCACACAAAGTCTGTGTTTTGGTAAGAACTTGTGTAATTAAGAAGTAAATGATTTATTTGAAATTAACTTGATGCTTAGTGTAATATGCAAATATTTTTAAAATATTACTTTATCATTAAGAGTAATTAATTATTCACGACATTATTGTATTTATGTCGTCTGGTCACACGCTCGTTATCTTTGTTATTGTTTGAGTCGAATATTCACTGATAATTATTTGTTAAATAACTCGTATCTCAAGCACTCTAAAACGCCCTTGTAATAAATACTGGAAGGAATATCTTGTTAATATTGGGTTATTTACAAAAGACTAGTCCATGAAACATCATGAAACGTTGCTACCGACTGATGTTTCTGTCCGCCGCGCCACGCGTACTGCTGCTTATGCACTCAGTGAAGCGCATCGTTCCGCATTGATGAAGAATATTTACTACAAAATTATGAAATCGTCTTACAGCTTATAATAAAATTATTGAAACAATGAAAACTATACCGCTTGGGCGGACACCCGTCATTTCGTGTGCTTTCCCTGTACTTTCAATGTAGTAGAACATTAGAAATGAATTCCATAACTAACTGTTGCTAATAAATCACATTGATCGAGATTTTCACAATGCACTCACTTTAGCAGAACGTGCGGAGTATCTTAAACATGTATGTATATATACGACGGTAGGTACCCAATATATTCACGTGTCACTAACAACCGAGTGTAGTTTGTGGCGATAGACAGAGACAACAAACCAAGTGAAAGTAGTACGAAATACACGATAATGTATTACTTAATGATGCAGTAAACTAGATTGGTTTGTTTAAGTGCATGCAGATAATGAGCAAACTGACCGACGATGTTTACCGACCGACCGGCGACCGGCGACCTAACCGAATCGATTTAATCATATCGACGCATCCGCTCGCGGTACTCCCGCAGCCACGGCGAAATTCTCATGAGCTGCAAATATTCCAGGCGAGTGAGTACTCGAACTATGAATTATTGAACGGAAGGAAATTCAATCGTTGATGTAGGTCGGTGCGAGGTGCGAGCACTAGTGTACGGTGCAAAGCGTGCGTGAGGCGGCGCAGGGCGGCAGAACGGTACGAACGCGTCAGGGGTCGCGGCGAGCCACGCGCCGGGCCAGCACCTGCAGGTCTGCGTGGATGTCGGCCAGCTCGGAGTGCAAGTCGCGCGACTGCGCCAGCAGCGCGTCCAGGCGCCGCGCCGTGGCGGACAGCGCGCACTCCTCCTCGTCCTCCTCCACGGCCAGCGCCAGCCGGCCCAGCCGCTCCCGCTCCACTGCCTCGCGCACTCCGCCACCACCTCGCTTTCGGAATTCGCGCAGCAGTTCCCGTCGTGTGCATCCTCCTTCACGTTCCTCTTCCTCCGCCTCCCGTAGCTCGTCTGCCAGCGACCGCTCAGCAGCAGAGTTCTTTGATTTATTGTGACTAGTTTCTTCAGGGGATGAGATAGACTCGGACTCCTTGTCTGATTCTGGCGGTTCTGGCGGTCTGTGATGGGGCTCGGGTGTGGCAGATGCCGATAACAAGGGGCTGGGTGATTGGAGAGCTCGCTGTAGAAACCGTTTAGTGTCTTCATCCAGTGGCCGAGTGAGGCCACGGCGTGGGACCGGCCTCACGATAGCTTCTAGTGCGTCACGCCCTGGATCCTCAGGCCGCAGTAGCTCCAGGATGCGTGCACGAGGGGGCGATATGGTGGCGCAGACGTCGTAGCGAGCTACCAGCTTGCCCTTGCTTGGTGAGGTGTGGATGTCGCCAGTGGGGGTGTAGGCGCGGATGTTCTCGTTGAGCAGCCTATAATTGCGCAGCTTGACGTTGCCCTCGGGCGGCAACGCAGAGGGCTCGCAGGCTGCGGGGTCGGGCTCCACGATCTCGATGTAGTGCGCGGGCAGCGGCTCGTCGCGCGGCGTCTGCGTGAACACGTTCATGTCGCGCTCGGGCGGCGCGCGCGCTCGCACTGCCCGCGCTGCCTCGCGCCGGCCCACACTGCCCGCGCGGGACGCACGCGGTGAGCAAGGACGCGCGGGACCTAACGCATGGCCCGGCACTACCGGACTGCACCCCACGCGCACCACTAATTAGATTTAACACTCCCTTGTTTGTCAGTGATATTATGAAATCACTGCTGTTAGTGTCACATTAGTGGGACAGCAATAACAACGTGTAAAAACGGTGCGCATTCCGTGCGCCAGTTGAGGTGGGCTGCGTTTTCTAGTAGCGGTCGAGTGGCCGTGTTTCACTTTTGTTACAGTTTGTTAGGAACTCGCTGAACGATTCAGTGTTCATGTTCATATTTGAGTGTGCGTTTTAAAGTTCTAAATGTTTTGTTAAAAGAGTACCGCGACACAGTTCACTACGATTACTCATTGTTCCCTATAGTATCAGTCACTTACACCAATTGATGCGTTTATTATCATTTATTGGTTAATAAAACCACAAAAGAATGTTTCACTAATTTATTAGATACTTCGAGATAGCGTCGTAGGTGGACGTACCAGAAATATTTGTCACTGGAATGAAGTAAGATTGCGCAACAAACTGGTCCAGTTATGTTAACCGCATGGTAATCGCGGATTTGTGTAGACTATAGACTATAGAGGATCATCCACTAAGCAGTGATGTAAAAAATATGCTAATTAGTGTAATAAAAACTGTGAATCACTGTGATGTAAAAAACTGGTTAAATAGGTACCATCCAGAATAAAAACAAATATTTTGGTATGTAGATATACATTATGTATGAGGATGATCAAAATAACATAAACTGTAATGTGTTTAAACGCCTAGAATTAATTTTCCTGCCTTTGACATACCGTATCAGTCTATTGGTGTACTGGCACTGGCAAGGTAGTAACTGAGAGTAAGTGTCGGTCGGATAAAGTACTATTGAGGTTTCGATTATCTTAAAGCTGACATAACATAAAATCACGCGTTTTCATTCCCGAAGAGGTAGGCAGAGGTTTACATTACGGCACCTAATACCACTGTACTATGTTCACCCACAACATCCACTTTTCACTTTGACATCGAGGCACAAAAGGTTGGGCTAGTAAAATACTTAATAGCCAAGAATAAATATAGCTTTTCTTCTAAGGAATTTTTCTAAGGGTAAGGAAAGTACACTAAGTACTGGTCCCTTAAGGGAAAACAGACTTTATTGTTAAGTTCAATAGATATTCAATTAAAATTACAACTTTATGTATAAAGTACTAGCTTGTAACTTTATCCTGCACTAAAAATTTGAAGGTCATTTTTTAATTTAACTTACAACACAGGAAATTATGAGACCGTACTAAAACCAGATTCTCTTTCAAACAGTTAAATAGAAATTACGCACTGAGAAAGAGCCATGAAATATGTAACGTGTAGAGACTACACAACATATCAACATAATTATGTTTTATGTCCCATATTGTAATAAGGGGCGAGCCTATTGATATTCATAAAATAGGTATAACTATTTGTTAACTGCATATGTCTCAAGAAAGTTATTTTAAAGTAGTAATAAATAATAAGTCTAATAAAAAACATAGTTTTACGATTAAACCATATTTATCCCCTTAACTATTTTCTACACATTTTCGTGAATTTGGAATATGTAATTCAAGTCTAGCCTTTCCAACATCTAATTCTGCTAAGATAATTTACAAGTTAGTTCAGTTAGGAATTAATCGTAGATTGTAAGTTTCCAATGTTAATACTTCTAGTGTTCCTATGAGGATGACATGTTCGTAATATGAACAAATCCTCAATAATCAATAAAGAATTAAAAAAAAAAAACTATTTTCTACACCTCTGTACATCTTCAATACATATCATAAAATCGTAGAAACGTCAAAACTGTACATTGAATATTTTTTTAAAAGAATACATGAGGCGTGATCTACAGTCGATACCGAAGCCAAAAATATGGTTTTTAGAATTTTTGTCTGTTTGTCTGTATGTATGTTCGGAATGATCTCCAAAAATACTCCATGGATTTACTTCAAATTTTGCATGAATATTACTAACAGGTCGGGTCCACATATAGGCTACATATTATCACGCTATCATCTACAGGGGAGGAGCTGTGAATCACAATTTCACTCGAACGAAGTCGCGGGTAACAGCTAGTATACAGTAGTATAGTTGTTCATACTTATATGTTTACTAACCCAATTGTTTTGTCCTTTCAGTTACTAACCACTACAAACTATCGCAAAGTAAAGTTCAACGGTTCATTAATCTGCCGTTACCATTTGACACTGGCCGTATAATCAACAACATCTCGGTTGCCAAAGAGGAAAAAGAATCATATTTTGTGATGGATAGATAGGTGTGGGAGTGTGTAGTACAGTATATGCATGTCTATGATAAATGTCCGGTAGTGCAAGCGTGTGCGCAGTGGAGCGTCACACATCGGCCTTACCTTCTGTCTACCCTGATTGCTGCACGCAACTTGAACATTCCTCCAAGAAAGTTATTATAAAAAAAACAACTGTACAACGAATGGCAGACAGACACAGGCAATTGGTTAAAGTATACCTGACAATTTATTTATTTATTTATTCGAAGGACAAGCGAGATTCGTACCTACATAAAAATTTTCATCGAGTTATCTAATATCTCGACTTATATGTAGAGGTATATTGAAATCAGACTTGAAACCTGTAAGTAGTATACTGTGCTAGTTATAAGTGAAAATATAATTTGTACATATTTGAAAATAAGCCTTACTATGGCCGTAGATGTTTGTATCTTGTAGCTAAAGTTGAACAATCAATAACTTCACGGCTTTATTATAATGAGGGCACAAACAAGCGGACGTACTCGCTTTCAAATCATACGTAGGTACTTAATGAACTACAATCAATATCGGTAGCAACTAATTATTACAGAGGTTAATATACATAATTCATCTACTTTATAGTACACTAGCCTTTCGTAAATTACACCCTGTTACTCCCCCTCGTTCTAAATCAATAAGATTTTCAATCATCTTCCTATTTCCATCTATCTCTTTTTTTAAATTAACCAGTACGTGTCCAGCAGTTTCGGAGATAATACAAAATACAAAGAAATTAACTTTCGCAACCTTAGTAGAAGTCAGAATTAGGACATCACAAACGTATCATTAGAATTACTCAACCCAATAAACACGCACGACAATAATCCACCGACCGAGTGCATTATCGCTAAAAATAGATTAGAAAAAAGACAAAAGAAAGGAAAATCGACCGTTGTCCTCGTTCTATCGATTAATTACGTGAATCAATCAAGATTAATAGTAAAAAAGGCTACAAGATAAAAAAAAACAGAGGCCAGGATCAGCAGAGGTCTCGAATACCAACCGGCCGTGGATATGAGGGAGGCCGCCATTAGGTACCCCAGGCCACCGCTGATGATAATAACATGTCGAATTTAGGCTCTGCTTCTACACAACGGGCCATATCTGCGATTGTTCGGGTGATAGCAGCTTATCTGTGATAATTTGTGTTCGTGTAACGATAGTATATCGTGATTTTTATTAATTGCGCTGTGACGTGCTGTTATAGGTCGGTAATTTTTTGTTGTTGTCTGACTTGTAGGCGGTTGCACTGTCAGACTTCTGTCGACCTGTGCCACAAAGGGATTCTATCAACTTACGCAGGGACAGAATAATATGCAAATGAATGATACAAATAACTGAATTGCCTGATATTTACATGTGTCAGGCATCGGGCATCAGGCAATTCTGGTAGTTTTAATATGGTTGCCTAGACAAGGCTTGGACAAAGCACAGTCGACAGCCACCCCATGTGTATCTACCTAATATTCATGTTAGAATCACTCTTCATAATGGTATAATTTGATAATATAATCATAATTATTTTTTTCAGGTTATACTGCACAAAATGTTAAGGTCTCGAAGGACCATTTCAGATCAGTGATATCATTGAGAACATTTCACACATTTCTTTGAAATTATGGAAGATAGTCAGTACCTATTCATTTATTGAACTGCAGTTCCTGTTCACCAACGTGCAGGCGCAGAAATAGTGCACCGCATAATGAATGTAATGCAGCTAAGTCAAGCATTCCAATTTGTTGTGAAATGCAAATACTGAACAGGCTTTTCGTTTCTCTCCAGTAAAATAGGTTCAATTAATTAAAATGAGTAAGCAAACGATACTTTCTGGGCTAAGAGTAATATTGGAGGGAGCTAAGAATAATAAG